CTCTCAGGCCACGTGACATTCAGTCCTCATTTCAGTGTAGGGCCAGCCCCAGGATCCTGCTTCCTTCTCAGAAGCGTCCCCCTCCCCCATGGCCTGTGGAACATGCCTGACATGGCTTTCCGGTCTTCAGCGCTCTGTTACCTAGCACCTTAATTCTGCTTTGTCTATTGTTTTGGAAAGTGTTCCACGTTACAGATGTGACATTTCACCTTTCGGTATTATAGTGTGCATCTTCAAAGAAACAATTTCCCTACATAATCACATTGATAGAAGGGAAAGAAACTCCTGACCTGCTAGATGTCTGGTACGTGTTCTTTAAAACTGAAGAATGAATTTTAGGAACAGTAGAGGTTAAGAGCAGAATATATATATTCTGGGCTTTTCCTGTGGGGCGCTGGGTCAGCGGCTCTTCCTGGCTTTCTCAGGGTGATCGATACCTATGTAGAACATCAATCCCTGTTGCTTCTCCTTAGGGGAAGTATGTGGGTGCATCCATTTCATCTTTTGTGTCGAGCTCGGGTCCTCAGCAGAGGCGTGTCTCCCCACTTCTGCACTGGCTCCTTTGAGGGCCTGGCCCTTTCTGACTGCCTGATAGTTCTACCTAACTTAGCTGTGTGTAACGATATCACAGTTAGCAAAATGAAAAGTTTTTCATCGCTGGGGATTGAAGGCACAGCCTGTGCATGCTTGGCGAGGGTTCTCCCACTGAGTTATGCCCCCAGCCTAACAAAGTAATTGCCTGACTTCTTTTTGTTGTTTGTTCTAGACAGCGTCTCGCTATGCAGTTCAGGCTGGCCTTGAGCTCACTTTGTAGCCCAGGCTGGTCTCGAAATCGCAGGGATCCTCCTGCCTCAGCCTCCCGAGTGCTGGGATTACAGGTGTATTTTTTTTTTTTTTTTCCAGTACTGAGGAGGACCTCAGGGCCTGCAGCATGCCAGGAAGCACTCTACCACTTTATGTGCCCCCGCCCAGGCCTGCTGATCTTGGTCTTCAGACTGCCTTCCCTGCCGTCTCCACCCAATCCTCCCCAAGCCCTCGGGGCCAGCGCCCTCAGCCCGCCGTATGCTTTCATAAATGCTCCTTTTCCACAGTTCGCTGCTTTCCTGCCCCTGGAACGGGGAACTTGCCGTGTAATTCTTCAAGGTCACCTTAGAGAACGTCCCCCATCTCTGAAAGATCCACTCTCCCATGCTGCTCCTCCCTCTGAGCTTCTTCGGTGGCTGCCAGGAGCTTCTGCCTCTTTTTTTTAAGTGCGGGCAGAAGCTGGCTGCCCCCCTGGCAGAGGCAGGTCCGCTTCCTTTCTCTCCCTGCGGCCTTGTGCCTAGCACATGTGTGGCATCTAGTGGCAGCAATGAAAGGAAGCCGATGAATACTTCTTTCTTTGGCATCTGGACTCCTCCCACACAGCCTGTGTGCGCGATAAGGCGGGGGCAAGGTCCACGGGCAGCTTGGTGTACTGAGCCGGCCGGAAAGCGCGTTCCTAGAAACCAGTCCTCGGCCCAGCCCAGATCACGTCCCCTTGGCCTTGACAGTCTCACAGACCCCGAGACTCAGGAAGTGGTTTAGTCAGGGCCTGAAGAACCACGGGGTGGGATTCAGGCCGGGGGTGTGAAGGCTGGCCCTTCCGTGAGCCTGGTCACACCACCTGCCCTGGGGATGGCCAGTGGCTGGCGGGCAGGAAGGCAGCCCTCATCCGGCTTGGGGGATAAGGTTCTGCTGTGGGTCAGATGGGGAAGTCCAGGGGCCCCAGTCATCCGCACCTTAGTGCCCTCCTTGTGTCCCCACCATAACGGTCCGATCCGGGGGTCTGGAGAGAGCACCGCTTGGTCAGCTCTCCTGGGTAAGCTAGAAGAAATAAAGTTAGATAGAAAGGAGACAAGGAGAATCTTTTTTTTTTTTTTTGAGACTGTCTCACTCTGTAATTCAGGCTGGCCTTGAACTCACTATGTAGCCTAGGGTAGCCTCCAACTCCTGTTGATCCTCCTGCCTCAGCTTCCTAAGTGATGGGAGTTACAGGTGTGTGCTGAGGCAGGAGGATCGCTCTGAGCTCAAGGCCAGCCTGGCCTACACAGTGAGACCCTGTCTCAAAAAAACAAAACCAAAACCAAAAGCCCCTGCAACTTAAGGACACAGAGTCACCACAGGTTTTCCACACAGGAGTTTTAGATTCGTTTATCCTTCTTTTCTTGTGGCCCATCACACCGCAAAGCCCTTGAAGATACTACAGGTCCATAATTCAGCTTAACTGATAAAGGGCATGAAGCCAATCTTAATATAAAAGTTGAGAGAGTTCAAAAGAATGTTTTTAGGCAAAACATTTTAGATCACCCATCTTAAAATATATATAGGACTGGGCCTTTCACCTCTAAAATGGGCCATTAGCTTTCTGTGGGTGGGCCCCGCTTTTCTCCCATAAGCCAAAATAGACCTTCTTATAGATTCACAAGTTTCATAGGTTTCCACCGCCTCAAAAAAAAGAATTGTCAGCTCTTGAAAATACTCTGGCCAGGCGCGGTGGCGCACGCCTGTAATCCCAGCACTCGGGAGGCTGAGGCAGGGGGATCATTTCGAGCTTGAGCCCAGCCTGGGCTATAAAGTGAGTTCAAGGCCAGTTTGAACCGCATAGCGAGACCCTGTCTCAAAAAGACAAAAAAAAAAAAAAAAGAAAAAAGAAAAAAGAAAAAAAATACTCTGAATGCCACACTCCCTTGTGTGTTTTTCAAGACAAATCCTTCTCAAGCCTCTTGATCGACAAATCCTAAAACTCTTTTCTGCTGCAGGAGTCAGCGGCTTTGTCCTGAGGGTAGGGTCCGCTGCGGCCTTTCACCTTCGCTTTGGGACCCCTCTGGACCTCGCCCGCCCGCGCGGCCAGGCCGCGGCCCAGGCCGGACTCTCCGACCCCGCTGGCCCCGGCGCCGTCGACTGCAGGC